ACTCGGATACTTCGCTGTTATACTTTTACTGTATTTACATTTCAAAGTATTGAACGATGTATTAATATACTTTTTATATACTAATGATATATTCTTAATATACAGTATATTCCGCTATTTACTGGTCCGATAAACGGTATACGTATGTGAGTACAGTATACACAGTATATAAATCCTTTTATGTTATATTATGTTATATTATATAGTCTTCATACGGTATAGGTGCTCGTACAGTAATGTATATGCTTTTATAGTTATACATGAGTCGATTGTATGTGTGTTTTTCATTCATATATATTTCACTATACCGTACTGTACAGTACATTTGCTTTGTATACATTTCTATGATTATATCGGTTGAGTCATTTGTTTTATATTCAGTATAGTTATGATATACTTTATACACCGTTATGTATACAGTATACCTGAACCAACAAAGTATAGGAATGTTTTTTTTTTGGGTTTTTTAATTCTCTCTTATAGTTTTCTATATATAGACCACCTATACTTTACCGTGGTCATATGTTGTATGGTAAAGCATCTGAATCAGTTTTCTGTATGTTGTATATCGTCATCATAATATAACTGATACAAGTACTTACTGTATATCGACTCATATTTATATATTGTTTGAATCTTTTTTTTTATACATAAACGTGTTGTGTTAATAAGCTGTGTATATATTATTGTATATAATTGGTCTCTACGTGTATTTCTAAGCATGTTATTGTGTTAAATTTTATTATAAGGATAGATATTATATATACACCGGCATATAGGATATATATACCCTAGTTATATTTCTGTGTGTTTGAATTTGTTATATATCTCATGGTCACTAGTATAGTCTTCATATATACATGGAATCATACACATATACCGTACATATATTTACTATTTCGATATATAATACCTAGATAAGTTGTCCGCCCTGTAATTGTACCGGCCTGCTTATATATCAGATTACAGTGTCCACTCATGGGCCTAAGATATAGTATCTCACCGCTATATGGGTCTAGACTCTACTGGTATATCTGAATTAATTATTAAGTCTATTTTGTTCTTCATATATCATTATAGTCGTTATATATAGCATCGCCTCTCTATATATTTTACTAGTACTACTATTTTATAAGGTTTATACTGTATTGACGTAAAAAATCCTATATCCATTGCTTTTGCGTTCGTATCTTCGCGAGGATAATTTTTCATAATACTGTATATATAATTTTTGCCGGTAAATATAAGTAAAATTAACATAGCAAAATATTGATGATTTTATATAAAATTTCCACAACGGTCTGGCAAATGTTCCTCGATGTTTCAACTGTTTGTGAATGAGAACTTGTGAGTATTGATGGTGACAACCTAACGTAAGGCCGTTCATAAATACAGGTTTTCCGGATATACGGTTGAGATATGTGAATGAGGATAATTATGATAAAGAAAATTTTTAGCCGTAATAAATATAAAAGTTATTTTGATTTTGCCGATTATTAGCTTTGATTATAATTTAAGTTGATGTTAATGCTGGTAATATGAGTGATAATATTAATAAATTATCAACAATAATAATAATATAGAAAATCATAGTACAGTGTAATGGTAATAATAATGATAACCAGGTATAATAGTAATAATAATAATGATAAGAAGGTGGAGGAGGAAAAGAAGAGTAATAAGAAAAAATAATATATTGATAAGAAAAATAAAATTAGTTATAATAAAAAAATACTCGAAATAATCACAATAATAAAAATTAAGCTTGGAATTAAATATATATATATATAAAACACGTGTCACAAAGGGGCGGGAAATTATACAGAAAAGACTGATCTTATTATCTGTTGTCATGTTAGTACAGTACTTCCGCCATGCCACGGTCACCTTTCACATATATTGGCACCAAAATTTTCCTTCTGTCTCATCTTATGATTATTGTCTTAGGATTTTCTTTACTGATGCAGTTATTGTCCCCAAACTTTCTTTCACTCGACGGTTAGAATATTGTCCCAGGATTTTCTTTACTGATGCAGTTATTGTCCCCAAACTTTCTTTCACTCGACGGTAAGAATATTGTTCTAGAATTTTTTTTTTACGGGTGCGGTTATTGTCCCAGCATTTTCTTTACGACTGCGGTTATTGTCCCAGCATCTTTTTACTTTTTTACGCTAAGAATATTGACCCCAGCATTTATCTTCCACTTTCTCTATTGTGAATATTATCCCAGCATTATCCTCCTGACAACTTCGGTTCGAATATTGTCTCAGTTTGCCCCCTTAACCTTTCTTGGGTCAGAATATTATCCCTGAACTTCTTCACTTACGATAATCTAAATTTATTACAAAAGTCAAATTTTTTTATCAAATAAACGAATTGAACAAGGAAACTGTATTTATACATTGCGTAATTTGGATATATAACTGATTATTTTTATTTATTAACATAATCGATTACGTTGACTAGTATCAGTACTGTATAAGGGTGTCGACCGTTCGTTCACCAAGGCTCCAGATATTGTCAACACTAAAGAGGATATTGTATTAATTTTTGTAAGTTAGATTATATTTATGTGTTCTTTTTAATAAGTTCATCTATTGGTGTTTATCGTTAACAGCTTTTGAGGTCATTGGAGATGTAATATATATGTGCAGTACAGTATTTTTTTTTTGTCAGGCAGCGAGTGGTTGGGTTTAGGCCAAGACAAAGAAAAAAATAATTATACTAATAGTGTAATGATAATAATTTTCATAATCAGTCAAATGATAAAATAAAAGCTAATGATAATTATAATAATAATGTCTCCGGGGTCACAATTTAATACTATGAATGACACGGTTCTATAAATTTACGGTGACGTCAACTATAAATGGTGATGTCAGGCATTCACGGTGACGTCAACCATTTACGGTGATGTCAACTGTGAGCGGTGATGTCAGCAATTTACAGTGACGTCAACATTTTACGGTGGTGTCAGCTATTCACGGTCATATCAACCATTCACGGTGACGTCAATAATAATTTACGGTGATGTCAACCTTTCACTGTGATGTCAACAATTTACGTTGATAAAAATTAGTGACAAGTTTACGGTAAGAACTGTTAATGAGAGAAAGGACACATTTTCGTTAGTGTGGTTAATCTTTAGGTAAAATAAACAAAGGTAGATTCTTCAGGTGATCCATATATTGTTTAGGAGTTGGAACTAAATATATTATATGTGTAAATTAATAAAGGCAGAGAGAGAGAGAGAGACTGACTTAGATAAATTTACACATCTATCTTCACACTTAAGTTAGTTGGAATCGATTAATTATCTGTTCCTATAACGTTAAGGGAATGAATGACAAGTATTCTTTGAGACTCTTAACCAAATTTCTGTTCCTCCATAATTTAGTCTATTGATTTTTAGTGGATTGGGAAAAGGGCAAAACAGCTAATATTTTTTTTCATCTTAATTTATGGATAATATTTGTCTTATTCGCTTGACAGAACCAGATTAACATTAATTCTATAGCTGTGGTGTTTTCTTGACGTATCTAGTTAGGGTAGGTTTCTAATGTTGAATTTCTCCCGTAGTTGGTGTTTTAAAAGGATGTAGTGCCGGTATCTAGCTAGGGTTGGTTTCTGTGTTAAATTTTATCCCTTAAATAGTGTGAAGAAACCGTATCTTAAGATTAGGTAACTCTCTCCTTTTATTTTGTCCCTTAACTGGTATGAAGGGAATGTAACTAAGTCAAAGTTAGTTATGTTCAGTAACTAGTAAGGAGACGACGCAGCTAGTTAGGTTCGGTCTCTAATTTAACGCTAATTGGTGTTAAGTGAATATATCTAGTTGAAATTGTGTGATTTTTAACCTCGTATTGATGTTTCGCGAAATTCTCTCTTTAGTTAAGGAGCTGAACGACGTTAATTTTGTCCTCTTAACTGGTATTAAAGGAACTTATATATCCAATAAGTTAAGGTAGAGTTTCAGTGTCTAATCTTGTTCTCTAACTGATATTAAAAGATCTTATATATATACAGTAAGTTAAGGTAGAGTTTCAGTGTAGTTTTGTCCTGTAACTGGTGGTAAGGAGATGTGTGTCTGGGTGAAGATGGAGTCTCAGTGTAATTTGGGTGACGTTTTGAGCGTTATTCTTAAGGTTTAGCTTTACTCAGCCCGGTAGATGCGTTCTTAAACTTCCATTTACGAGGAAAACTTTAATATATGAACCCTAGGGAATTAATTGTTGTCGTTGTTTAAGTGAGTCTGATACATCCTTTATATCTTTACATAGGAGGAGAATTTAACGTATGAATCGTGAAGAATATGAACCCGGAACTTTTACTACGTTTAGATACATTGTAAAGGGGGGGAGGGGGAATGCACACTTAAACTTGGCATGTAGTAAAGTTAGATTCGTATGTAAATAAGACGACCTTCGTTCCTGGTGGCAGTGTAAAGACTTGAGTCAACCTTGAAACTTATGAAACAAGAATAATAAAAGAATATATGAAAAGCCATCACATACTGTAGGGAAGTTTTGGGTTTAATAACAAAGTGTGTTTTAAGTGCTTCAACTGTCAATGTTATTAAATGCTGTTCACTAGGTCTTAATTTCTATGACAGGCCGTTTTGAACAATTTAAAATAAGCTTTCTATGCCCAGTTTAATCTGAATAGGTACATTTCACCTCGGCGGCGGCTGCAGACCAGAGTCCTGCTTAACAAGTGAAGAAATTACAATTACCACTCCCTGATCGACGTGCCAGAGACCGCATTATACCAAGTGGGTGGAGGGGAAAAATGGGGCTATCGTCAGGATATGTAAGATTCGTTGCAATGGCTGGCGGAAAAGAAGGGGCAGGGGAGAGGGAGGGGCGCGGGAGAGGAGGAGAGAGTGAGAGAGAGTGAGAGGAGGAGGATGGGAGGAGCGCGGGGGAGGGGAGGTGGTGGAGGGACGCGGGGGTGTGGGAGGGGGAGGATGGGAGGGGCGCCGGTAGCCACACTCATTCGAGTCCCAACCCTTCACCATACTGGACGTGTCTACCGGGAGCTCCGCGCACCCTTCCCTAGCGGTAGTGATCCCGCGTTATCTAAGTGCATCTCAGGCGTCATTGCAGCGCCGTTACGCCCTCATACGACGAGTGTTGATACGCATTCATTCAAAAAGTGATTTTATTCATTACACAAGGTGTGATTGATGTATTTTCAGGAAACTACGTCTTACCGAGACTATACTGTATATCCCACCAAGGAAAATTTAAGAAATCAGGAGTGGGAATGGAGAAACCTGTGTATCAACTATTCGTGTGTTGTTACCAGTGATCCTCAGGTGTGCAGTGATCTTGGGAGTGTTTTCAATAATTTATCGCCAGTTTGTTTTCTTTTAAAGGCCGAAATATGTTGGTAAAATTAACTGGTGATGCGTAATTTCTGGAAATTAGTATTTGCTTGCGTCTATTGTGCACGGCTGGACGATATTAATGTGGAGGAGTGTTCCTGGTGGTAAAAGGTGTCTTTCTAGCTGAACTACTCGGACACGCACCAACTCCGTGCATCTTCGATAGTGTTGGGGATTCTGGCATCTTACGTAAAGTTAATACTGGTGCTTCATATAGTGGCCCAGCGGTTGGTGCCTTATATGTAAGCCTGGTGACTGGTGGTAACTGGTTCCTCGTAAGGAGCCGAGAGTGACTGGTGCGTTGCAGTGAGTGGTGTCTTAATGCCTTCTAGAATAAGATCGCAGATTTTACGCATCAAAGTGTTGGACCAGAAACTGTGTTGTAGAATAATTGTGAAGAATATAAGCGGTTTAAGTGTTATGTTCTAGATTACATCACTGTTGAAGGTTTGAAGTGTTAACGTCATGGAAAATATAATGTTCTAGAACACTGTTGAAGGTTTTAAGCATTACAGTGTTTGGCCAGATACGACTACTGCACATAATGGCACAGTGTGGAAAAGGACGAACTTATACCAATATTTGTGTCGACGTTTCTGAAATGTATTAATAAATTTTTTAGTACGTTTAGAATATTGTAATTTGTACGTTAAACAAAGTGATTTAATTTTTCATTTTTGATAATTTTACTCATGTTAACTATCTACTTTACGTGAAATGACTGGTACAGTATATTGGAAGACAAAATTTGGGGTGAATTTTGTGAGTGTTGTGTCTTGGTGATTAGAAACTAGTGTTTATAGTGATCATTATGCTTCATACGATTGTCTTTTAACAGAAAAATATTTAATGTATGACTGAGAACCATAACGGCATTTATATAAAAAATCTAAGAAAATTTGCCTTTGGTGTTGTATTGTGGCAGAAATCGAAAAAAAATATGAAAAGTTAAAAGGTAAATTTTATAATTGAATTTTTTTACACGGAAATTGCGCAGGTAAATGATGAAGGCAAGCTTGAGGTGAACAACATGGTAGATGGTGATAATTATAGGCACATGGCCTTCACTGAGCATAGTGCGTTTGTTAACCACAGAAATACCAGCGGGAAGTGATCAGTACACAGTTTAATACAAGAGGTGATGGGATTCTTAAAAGCGGTCAAAACACCGTCTCTGTATATAGTAAGTAGGAAAATTCTTTATCGTTTTGTATTTCTTGTTACTCTTGCATTGTATTGAAAGTGTACTTGTATATATTACCTTTAGGGAATTTATTGAAAGTTTATTTAATAGGAAAGTTTTAAAAAATATATATTTTTTTAGTTGGTAAAGACTAAGTGAACGATACAATAAAACCGTAAAATAAAGGTTGGGTGAACGAAGCTTAACAATCCTGATGATGGCTGAAGTCAAGGAATACATAAAAGAACAAGTTATTAAATATGTTTCGCCCACTGTCAAACTATTTTCAAGGCTGTTGTTAATATACAGCAGTCAACTGGAATTCTTTGGGCTGCCCGGGTCTATTTTTCTCCTTCATATTTGTGTAGTTAATAAAGAGAATTGCATTGTATAACGTCGACGCTCAAGGGGGGACGGGGGAGGGAAGTGAGGCCCAATTTTAAGATTTAATTGGAAACATTGGGAGTGGCACCTTCAACCTAACAATTTTCCATCGTGTATTGTAAATAGGAAATCCATTTCTTTTTACGTTTTGAAATGTGTTAGTGGAGGAAATAATTATATAAAAAACTACAGACAATTTTAACCTAGCAAGATTTAACCAGATTTACCGGTGATTAAACATATTCCAGATTTTTTAAGGGTTTGTACAGTTATCTTTTTTTTTAAGGGAATAATTACAAAATTTTACCTTAGGATATAGTGGAAATTAATACGATGGATGTTGGTCGTAATGAAGAATGTATCTAACTGATTGACATACACGTAAGACATAACCTTAACTAGAAGCCGGTATGTTCTCTAAATAATAATTCTTAATTGATAGGGGATGTTAAGTTCGAATGCATATATCGCTCTCGTTAAAGACATGATTTCTGTTCAGGATATTTAAATTAAAGTACAGAAGCTTTCAGTGTAATTATGAGTGTCAATATTGTGCTTCAGCTTACGTCAGTCGGTAAGAACGTTTGGGATACAGGATGTACCTACAGCATAATCTTCACCTTTCCCATTTACGTGGTTTGTTTTCCCTCTCTTGGCTGCTTTTCAGAATGGGAATAAATTCTCTAATCTATTTTTTTCGCGTTTCTTTTTCTATAAGAGTATTTATGGAAGTATTGGAAAAATGTGAAACGTTCCTGGGATTGATTTTTTGTCTAAGTTTATATTTTGTCATGTCTTGGTAAACTACTAAATATATATTATGATTTTTTTTCTCTCAAGAATATTTAGGACTTCCGTAACCGTAAATATTTCCCCTTAAACATCTAAGTCAAAGGCGTTATAGCGTCAGATCTTCAGAAAATTGTAAGTTAGGGCATGGGGAGGCGGTCACTCCGAACCTGCGCTGTACTGTATTTTTTTCCTTCTACAATTTATACATAAAAATCTCAGGAAACTTTTTGTATACGTTAACGAAAATTCTCTCGTATTTTTCTTTTGGAGTTTAAGAAGAAATGATGGAAATTACGACTGAAAATATTATATTCTGTTTTGTGGCTTATAATACATAACGGTAATGCATAGCAATCAACTGTTCAATGGCATACTATACACATTGTATACCCAGTCCTCAGAATTATCTTCATTATTATTATTATTGGAGTGCTGAACGTTACAGGGACTCCAGACTATAAAAGGAAACCGGACCTTTTTTTTCACTTATAAAAGTTTTGTTGTAAAAAGTAAACCACATATGACGCTTGATGGCCGTAACAGCTACAGCACTTGATTCTAAAACAATAACCATTTTAAACTTGAGCTGAATCTAGAATTACTACAAGTTCTATTATGTTCACTTCATCACCATCTTGATCTTAGTGGATGGTCGTAGTAAAGGAACTTATATATTTCTTTATTTTCTCAGAACTGTAAATAAAAAAAAAATTAGTGGAGCATATTAACGTCTTTTTTCATTTTTCCGCCAATTATTTTGGGACGCCCCAAATTATGCGGAACCAAAGGTTTTCCGGGAGTTTACGTTCCACGGACTATGCCTTAATAAATTTACGCAAACTTAGATTTTATGAAAATGGTGCTGCCATGAGCTCTGTCCCCACACACATATTCTCATGCTGTTTTGTTACATGTAGAACTGTTTTATCTGTATAAACAAATATACCAATGTTTGGTTTTCATGATAACCAAATTTTTTTTTTTACAATGTTTGTCAAAAGCGAAACATTTATTAGCGAATATTAAGATATTCATGAATAAGCTGTTGAAGCTATTGATAAGTCGGCTGATTACTCAGTATATGTTGATACATAGTGATATTTATTCATGCAAAACATTTATTGTACGATATCTAGAAGGTATGTGCGCGCTTGTATGTAATGTATAAATTTAGAACATTTTCTGTACGTTTTATATGTCCTGAAAACTTTCTTAGCAATAGTTAAAAAGTTTCCTGCTTTAAGCACTTGTGGAGTCTTCATATACCTTATATATAACCTAATAGTGTACGTATACCTTATAATTTTGCAGGTACAGTATACCTCATTACCCAGGTGTGGTGGGCCAGCTGCTGTCGACTTTCTTGTTATGCTCACAACCTCTCCACAGTTTTCTATTACGAGAACATAATAGGTAATATAATTTTCTTCTGCCCTGTATTAGAGCTGTAAGAATTTTCAACATCTTTCACGGTGAAAATTAATTAAAATTGCGATAAATTTTTTCTGTAGATATTAAAATTGCGATATAATTTCAATCTAGTTTTTCATGGTGAAAATCATTTGGCCAGATAGTACATATTCACTTGATTAGTCGGGAAAAATTATATATATATATATATATATATACCCGGTATATATTTATCATCACACCCAGCAAGGGAATTTAAAAAAAATCATGGCGCATTGCCTCAAATTCACATTAGAATAATTAATTTCCGAAGGATTAGCGGGGAAAATAAATTTATTCATCACTTCATCATCACGTCATTTAAATTTGGCTCGGCAATTGCGGCTGTAGGAGACCCGGACCTCTTCATCACGGCGTCTCTGCAGTCTGTGTTTTACTGAAGACTTCCACTTGTTGGGGGGAGTTTTAGAGGTGGGTGGGGTTAGGGGGGGTATAATGGAGGCAGTGGTGGTGGTGAGGGTCGCTGGTTGCCGTCCATGTGGCAACAGGGGCGGCGGCCACCACATCTGGCAACGCTCCCCGGGGCCTGACGGGCTCGAGGCGCCATCTACTCGGCGATTCCAGTCTTTGGGTCTGCGTCGTAAAATCCCTTTTATTTCCTGTTATTCACACTCACATACTGGGTCACTATCTTGGCACTGGGAGGGTAATACGGTGTACATTTCGGGTGCACACGGACACTGGTACGGGTAATTATATGGAGGAAATAACACGGCCCATCGCAACTGGCAACTTAAATGATAGCGTGAGCCTGGCAGACCACTTCTATCATCTTCATCTTGAATTTGTCAGTGTAGTCATAAAACCTGGGCTTCTTTTCAAGGGCTCCCTTATTCACAACATTCAGCAACCTTCCACGGGTATAATATCAACACTTTTGAGTCCCACTGCCTCCGGAAATCGACGATACGAGGGAAAAAATGCGTCTTCTTTACGGACCCAGACCGACACCATGACAACAGAAACGCTTGTCGGTTTACAGAATCGAACGAACCGCAGACGGAGTGGGCGTCCGATTTCACGCATCTGTTTCTGGCTTCGTCTGACATCTCTCCCAGTTTGGTTTTCGCATTATTCTTGATTTTTCTTTTTTCTCGCTGTTATTTTATTTCAGTGTTTGATTGACTATCGAAAAAGACTCGAATAGTGTTCCCCTTTTTAGTTTATATAAAGAGTTATGGCCAAACGAAGCTCACAGGACGAGAGCAATAGATTCGAACTCATGTAAAATTAACAAAGAGGGTTGTTGCCGTTTCTAAGCAAATAGTAAATTACAGTTAAGTCTCATCCCTAGCCATGACGTGACGTAATCTGAGCCATCCAAGATCCACTGAAATCACGGTCGCTGAAGTGAGATGTGTGTAGTGTGTGTGTATGTGAGAGTAATGTTTAAAAGCGGAGGCGATATGGCAGCGTTGGCTAGCCTATCAGGCCCCTGGACGCAGACAGGTGGTGAATGTGAGATACAAACAGGCGAGCAGATAGATGGAGAAAGAGAGTAAGTGGGTGAGAGAGAGAGAGAGAGAGACGCAGAAAGAAATATAGACGCGGAGAAAGAAAGAATGAGAAATATAGGAGAAAGATTAATAAATTTGCACATATTGAGTGAGGTAGATGCATGGGGAGAGAGATGTGGGGAGAAAAAGACAGATAAGGGTAGAGAAATGTAAGTAGGAGGGAGAGGGACTTAGGAGACAGAGGGTATAAGGAGAAGGCGTAAATAATGAGGTGGGATGGAGGGGAGAGGAGAAAGAAGAGAGGGTGATGTGTTGAGATTGAGGACCAGGGAGAGAACGCAGGGGGTGTGTGGTGGAAGACAAGATAAACGAGGAGAGAGAAGGAGGAAAGCACAAAGAAAGGGAGAGGAGACAGAGAAAAGTCCAGTGAAGTGGGGAGAGTGAGAGAAAGAGAGAGAGAGGTGTGTACAGTGATAGAAACAGGAGAGAGAGGGAAGAAAAAGAAGGGGGTTTGGAGAGGGACAGATGTTACATGTGTAGACAGTATATTACAGTATAGTAAAATAGACGGTAAAATGACATAAATACACCAGACGGATAGAATAGCAAAGGAAGAGAAACAGACATAAAGCATAAATTATAAAAGACGTGAAAACATTGAGATTTATAAAAAAATGAATTCCTGTGATTTTCCGAAACAAAGACGGAAATGAATTGTAAACAGAAAAAAAAACAATCACATATGTAGGTATAACAGTGGAAGGAGAAGAGAAGAAACTGTATTTTTTTTCAAGGCAAATCACGTAAGATAGAGACAGAGAGAGGCCCATTCATATGAGAAGTCACGTGTGGTTGATATAACAGCCTGTGGAAAGAGGAGGAGGCGGCGACGGAGTG